CATGATAGAGTTGATAGTCAACTCTATCTATTTGATAGATCAAAAAGAGTTGAGAGTCCAGAAACAGATCCTTAAGTGATTTTTAACAATGAAGGCAAGACTCTTTAAGGCTTCAAAACTGCTGTCTGGACAACACAGAGCCAAGAAGTACCTTGATGTGGTGGGCAGGGGTCTAGGTTAACTCTGCGTGGGTTATGGAAGAAGCACAGAAATTGAGAGGTCAGAAGAAAAGCAGTTTATTGAAAGCACTTTCTCAAGGAGGAAAGGGCAGATGTCAAATTGAGAGCGTGACCTTGGGCAGAGGTCTATGTTAGCTTTTATTTTTTATTTATTTTTATTTTTTTATTATTTATTTATTTAGTTAGTTTATTTATACAAGCACTGGGTACAGTCAGAAGCTGAGCGGGAATAGAACAGGCAGACTGACTGAAATACACTGCTGAGGGGAGCAGTGGGCAGCAGGAGAGGTCTACGCGCCATGTGGGACCTTCGCCGGCTGCCAGGGATCAAAATGGCGCTGCAGAGGCTGCGGGCAGCTTCGCAACCCAGCGCTCAACTGCTGCACCACCGGGGAGGCCCTCTATGTTAGCTTTTATATCTCAGCTTCTTTACTTTTCTTTTTTTTTTTTTAAAGATTTATTTAATTATGCATACAAGAACTGGGGCACAGGCCAGACATGTGGGAGTTGAGAGGATTCACCAGAGACAGAGTAGGGAACAGAATAGGCAGATTGTCCGAAGTACACTACTGAGGGGAGCAGCGGGCAAGTCAGGAAAGGTCTGCTGCACCATGTGGCTTTCTCCCTGGCCAGGGATCGAACTGGTGCTGCAGTGGCTGCAGATAGCTTCATAGGTTGCATCTTAACCCCTTGTACCACCAGGGAGGCTCTCCTTTGCTTTTCTTTTTGTTTCCTTAATTAGCTCCGGGTTGGCAAGTGTTGGGTACTTTTTGTTAAGACTGCAATATAGGAAACATTGCAGGTAGTTGATGTGTTGCTGTGGAAACTAGCTCACAGGACACGTTGCTAGTGGCTGGGGATGCTGTGGCACATAGGAAATATTGTTGGTAGTTGAGGCGCTAATGGGGGTGTTGCCCAGGACCTATTTAATTTAACCTCATCAAATTTGATCTGTTTCCTGAGCCCATGGAGGGGAGTGCATTTACATACACAAATAGGCAGGGTTAGTTTCCCACTCAGGTCTTTATTGAAATAAGGTTTTCAGTTCATGCAACTGTGATTGGTGGACAATTTACCAAGTGGTGATGGGTCAAATTTCAATTCTGTGCATTCCTTGGTTTCACACATTGTTTTCAGTTTCTTTTTTTGGTGGAATCTTCTAGGAGTGTCTGGATATGCCAATGCATCTGAACACGCCTGGGAGCAGACCCACAACTGTCCAAATTCTGTTTGGTATTTACCCAGTCTTGGGATGGCTTCATTTTTATTTTCCATATTATAAATCAATCATATACAAAAATTAACTCAAAATGGATCAAAGACCATGTAAGAATTAAAACTACAAAACTTTAAGGAGAAAACAGGTATAATCAATCATGATCTAGGATTAGGCAATGATGTTCAAAAAGAAAAAATAGATTGGGATTCATCAAAATTAAATATTCCTGTTCTTCAAAAGATACCTTCATCAAAGAAAACACACAGGATGGGAGAAATATTTTTAAACTATTAACTGATTAGGGGCTTTTAAGTAGAAAATTAAAAGAACTCTCACAACTCAATAAAAACACAACAATTTTAAAAAAGGGGCAAAGGATCTGAAAATAAATTTCTCCAAAGGAAATATACAAAAGACCAACAAGCATTTTGGTATGTGAAGAAGCAAGTGACTTTTTTATAATGCAAAGCAAAGTCATAAAAAGAAAAATAATTCTGGTGCTTTTCACAGATGAAAATTATGTTTATTCTAATTTCTTGGAATCATGGACTACAAATATATAAAAAGACTAAATAAGATGTTTATCATTAACTTATTCTTCAAATATTGACTGAAGCTGAGGTCAGATTTAATTATTTTGATGTAAGGTCAGTCTTTCAAAGTTGGGTTTTGATTAAGATTCAGTAAGGCTGAGTTATAATAGGGTGGTCCCAAAGGAAAAGGAGGTTCCAGGTTCCCTGCCAAGGAAGGGTGGAGCTGAGCAGGGAGGAGGAGAAGCTGGAGAGGAGACTGGAGAAGGAAGGAAGATGGAGAGTCAGAAGAAGACCTGGAGGAGGCACATGGAGCATAGACATTTGAAGAAGCTACATTTGCTTCTTGGCCTTGGACTGATGCTGTTACAGGGCAATCCCGCTCTAAAATGGGTTGCCTGACTGTGGGTCTGTTACAGGACAGCCCTGATATTGAACGGGTTCCTGGCTGTGGGTCCTCACCCGCGCGCTTAAAAGGGACTTATTGATACTCCACTACAGACACACACAAAAGGTTAATAAAAGGTTTATTGACAAGGGAAAAGGAAATAAGGAAAATGTACAGCTCAGGGAGAAAATAGGGAAATAAAGTCTTTAATGCGTCCTACCCGATCCCACGACCTGGAAACCCAAAGTCACTCTCAGAGCTGGCCGGATGCTGCTAGCTGGTGGAGAGCCAAAATGGGGGACCCCCCCCCCCAAAGCCCACGTGTCTGTCTTTATACTCACTTGGCTGCTTAACCCCACCCTCAGGTCCCAGCCACCTTCCCTTTGGCGGTGATGGGATTTGGAGTTCCCAGTGTCTTTGGCTTTGGCCTGGGGTGGGGGTGGAGTCCACAAAGCCTGTATGGAATTAGCCTTAGGACATCCTTTTCCCCCTAACAGGTCCTATCCTGAGCACTTAAAAGGGACTTATGCTGCAGGCACACGCAAAAGGTTAACAAAAGGTTTATTTACAAGGAAAGGGGAATGAGGAAATGTACAACTCAGGTAGAAAAGAGGGAGATAAAGCTTAAATGTGTCCTACACTTTCCGCCAACTTGGAACCCCGAATGACCCACTCAGACCAAACCTGCCTGGCCAAGAGCAAACATGCCTGGCCAAGTGTCTGAGACCCCACTAACATGGCTGGTTTTTATTTACAAACAGAGAAAATGGCTGCTTAACTCAGCCCTTAGGTCTTCGCAACTTCCCTTTGGGGATCCTGAGATTTATAGTTCCCAGTGTCTTGATGGAGTGGGGGTGGCATCCACAAAGCCTGTGTGGAATTTGCTGAGGACATCCTTTCCCCATAGCAATACCAGGGACTTGGGGAACATGGAAGACACTTGAAACAGGCATTGGCCAGAGACCCAGGGGGAGGTTAACAGTGGCAGCTTTTATCTCTATTTTGCTCCTTTTGTAACAGGGTGGTCCCCAGGAAAGGGGGAGGTTCCAGGTTCTCTGCCCCACCCAAATGGAGGGTGGAGCTGAGCAGAGAGTAGAACCTGCAGAGGATACTGAGGATGGAAGCAGGATGGAGCCAGAAGGAGACCTGGAGGAGGCACATGGAGCCTAGAGACACGTGAAGAAATTGCGCTTGCCTTTTGGTCGTGGACTGGGTGACACAGATGTGGGTGAGACCCGTGGGGAGATGACAATGGCAGCTTTCATCCTGATTTTGATTTTGCTCTTTTCCTTCCGGGCTTGTCTCGTTGTTTTTTGACCCTTTTCTGTGGGTCCCCACTGGAAGATGCTTTAGACTTGTGGCAGGCTTTGGGGCCTTGCTCTGGGCGGATCCCATATGGATGGACTTTTACCCATGAGGGGACGGGTAACTTTGGGTGCTTCATTTAGAAACTAGATTCTTTGCCTTTCCTGTATTGTGTCCTAGTTGTATTAAAGTTCCTTCCCATTAAAGTCTCATATGTTTTGTGTTGATGTGGCAGATGGCAGAACCCATTTAGAGCAGGCAGGTTTTGGGAGGGTTTGGGCTGCCCCTCTCCCTGCCCTGTAACACTTTTCATCCCACACTTGCCTGGCCCCTTGCTCCCCTTCTCTATGGGTCCCCACCAGAAGCTGCCTTGGTCTTGTGGCAGATTTTTGGGCCTCAGTGGCCCTGCTTTGGGCCAACCCTGTTTGGCTGGACATCTACCCACGAGGGGATGGGTAACTTTGGGTGCTTGATTTGGAAACTATATTCCTGGTCTTTTTCTCACCTCTCTATTGTACGCTAATTGTATTAAAGTTCCTTTCCATTAAAGGTCTTACGCACTGGGGTGTTTTGTCTTTACGGAGCAGATGGCAGAACCTATTCAGAGCAGGCAGCTTTGGAGGGATCTAGGGTGTCTCCCCGCACCCTGCCCTGTGACAGGAAGCAAGGTTTTGCTCCGAAGGTGTCAATCACCCTGACGACATAAATGGCTTTTCACTGAGGAGTTGCAGGGTGTCTGTAGAAGTTCCCTAACGACCGACCAAAATGGGGGCAGTCTATAGGTGATGCTAGCAGGGAGTGGCTTTGTCCCCCCCATGACCCCACTCTCCAGGCGGGGCGGCTCAGCTGCAGGGATACCCTCGGCCGCCCGGTGCACTGCTCCCGGCAAGCCGCACCCGGCGCATTCGGGGACGCTTCGTTCGCCGCCCGCCAGTACGAGAATTTCCGGTGAACTCCCCTCTTGTCCTGCGCCCTGCGGGTCGATGGCGCCTAACCGCACGCTTCGCAAGGGCACGCAGTCGCCTAGCACGCCGGGGGAGAAGCCGACGGGGAACGAAAAGCAGGCCGAGCGCCCCGCCTCTCACGTGACGCGAGCTCAGCCCGCCCGAGCGGCTCCGGGTAGTCGGCGCCGAGGTCGTGGCTTCTGCGCAGGCGCCCACCTGAGTTTGCGACGGATGACGCAATCTGGCGCGGCCAGCGGCAGGCGCGGCCTCAGCGTCTGTCGGATCACGTAACTGCCCGCAAGACCGCCGCAGTCCGACGTGCGCACGCAGCCCTCCGAAGGGGCGGGGCCGGGCTGGGGCGGGGCGAGGCCGCACTGTGGCCATTCCCCGGCGCCCGCGCTGGCGCCGCCCCGCCCAACCGCCGGCCGTCCGGTCCGCCTGGTCCAGCAGACGCGCGGCGGCGGCGGCAGCGGGGGCGCGGGCTGGGAGGTGAGTGCGCCGCTCCGCGCGTCCGTCTGGCCCTTCGCCCCGGCCGCCGCGTCTCGGCCGTCGGCGCCGGGAGCTGGCTGGCCCGGTGGTCTGCTCGGCGGCCTCGCGGTGCAGGAGTCGGGAGCCGTCCCGGGGCCGCAGGGCCAGGCCCCATTACCTGGCTCCGTGCATGCCCGGGACCGAGCGGGCGCTGGAGTCCTTGCAGCGGGGGCCGCGTGTCCTTTGCAAGTATGCGGGCCGCAGGGCCTGCGGGGGCGGCGAGCTCGTGGTGGGCCGGGGGCCGGGGTCGGGCGCGGGGGAGCGCGATGCCCACCCGGGCTGAGGCCTGGCCGGAGCCTTGCACATCCCCAGTGCGGAGGGGCAGCTGAGAGTGGCCGAGACTGGGGCGATGCTCAGGGGCGGAGGCGGCAGCCAGGGTGCCAGCCAATTACAGTGTGAGATGCAGCTGTCACCCAGGCTGAACTGTTCCTGTCGCCATGATCGCTTCCTTCCCTTCCTGTGGTCGGGCGAAAAAGGGAAATCTTGCTCATAACCACTTTATTGATTGACTTAGAAAGCATTTTCTGACCGCCCGTTCAGTTGCACTTGTGGTCCTCGGCGTCACTGGCAGAGCTGGTGGCGAGGACGGGCATCAGGCGAAGAGCGATCTGCAGCCGTTTCTCCCAAGACTTATCTGGAGCCGGGGGTAGTCCATCGACTGCCCCCGGCCCCATCCTATTCGCAGACTTGTGAAGGCCCCTTTAGAGGACACTGCTCAGGCCGCTCAGATACCAATTTTTTTGTTTTGTTTGATTTCTCAGATGAGCACAGAGGGCTGTCTTTTTCCATGTAAAGGGAGAGGGGCTGGTTGGTGGTTGTGGGGACCAGATTGTAGCCTCCAGCTACCAAAAGCAGCATCATTGATGGGGGAGAAGGCAGGAGAGGTGAGACTGTATTTTCAGGGAAGGTAAAGACAAGTTCTGCTCTAGAAAGTTTGAGCCTGACACCTGAGGCTAAGATCTGGTTGAAGGAGGTCAGCAATCGGGTGGGTACTTTGGATGACTGGATGGAGATTTAGGAACCAAAGGGAACTTGGAAGAGGATGGTGGATTCAAGAGCCAAAAGTTGGGGATAAGCCTTGAGAAGAAAGCAAGTATTTTGGGAAGCCTGAGAAGGCAGAAGGCATTACCCAAAATGGTGTTGTGGTATCATTGACGCTAAGGAGAGCGGCCCTTGGCGTGATGCTTAATTTTTTTTGGCTGTTATTTGTGGAAAGATCTAGGGAGTGAAAGCAGCACTTGTCCTTTGGCAAGGTTGAGGTGAAGGGTGTGCTGAGCAGTTTCAGTGAGTCCAGAGTCCTACCAGGTGCTGGCTGGAGCTCCCTGCCCATGCACTTTACCTTACTTTCTCATCTGGAATGGGGATAATAGCACCTAGACCTGGTGCATGGGAAGCCAGGAACAACTAACTTAAAAAAATCTCCAGTTAAGCACAGACATGTCTGCACTCACTAAGCCTCGTAACAGCTTGTCAACCTTCTACAGAGTTGCTAACGTTCAGAGAAGTTACTTGCTCAAGGCAACACAGCTTGTAACTGTGTAACTTGCATTATTTGTATACAGTTAATAGTAATTTAAATTATGAGGCATATAGAATGAGTATGGATTGTGGGCTACTTTTCCATTAAGTGTTCCTCATGGAAAATTAGTTTGTTGTTTTTAAAGACAGACATAGTACCTCCCTGGTGGTCCAAGGTTAAGCACACCACTGTGAAGCTATCCACAGCCTCTGCAGCACAAGTTCGGCCCCCCACCAGGGAGCTACTCATATGGCACAGCAGACCTCTCCTGACTCCCCCGCTGCTCCCCTCAGCAGTGTATTTCAGTCAGTCTGCCTGTTCTGTTCCCCACTCTGTCTCTGGTGAATCCTCTCACCCCCCGCATCTCTGGCCTATACCCTAGTTCTTGTATGTATACATAAATAAATCTTAAAAAAAAAAAAAAAGCAGACATAATTCTCTAAGATTTCCTCCCAGATAGGCAAGACCCTGTATTTTTTTTTTAATTATTTGGATTCCTGAATAAAGAACTAGACATTGTGTTCAGCCATAAGTTCATTACAGTTTTGTGGGTCTGCATCTGTAAGCAAATTAGAAAATCACCTTAATAAGCAAGTACTTCTTAGATGTATTTCATTAGTCAGTCAGTCACTTATGTTTAACATTGTGGGAAATCTTAGTGATATTTTATTTTTCATGCAAATATTAAGATATGTCAAAACTTCAGAAATGCTATTAGTGTGGTATGAATCTTTATATGAGAAAAGTTAGGTTTAGTTTATTAATCACTTCATAGCCTCTAAGAACTAAATTAATCACATTTTTTAATCCTTTTTCTTGAGTGGATGCTCATACATGAGTAATTCTTGCTTTGTTTGTTTCCAAAGCTGTTATTGGTAAAAGAAACATGGAAAGTGGTGCAGTTCTGCTAGAATCCAAATCCTCACCATTTAACCTTCTGCATGAAATGCATCAACTACGCCAGCTCGGCCACCTGTGTGATGTGACTGTCAGTGTGGAGTACCAGGGTGTCCGTGAAGAATTCATGGCCCACAAGGCAGTGCTGGCAGCCACCAGCAAGTTTTTTAAGGAAATGTTCCTTAACGAGAAGACTGTGGATGGTACTAGGACTAATGTCTACTTAAATGAAGTGCAGGTTGTTGATTTTGCTTCATTTCTTGAGTTTGTCTACACTGCGAAGGTACAGGTGGAAGAAGACCGGGTACAGCGAATGCTGGAAATGGCTGAAAAGCTAAAATGTTTGGACTTATCAGAAACTTGTTTTCAGTTAAAGAAACAGATGCTGGAGTCAGTGCTTTTGGAGTTGCAGAACTTCTCAGAGTCTCAGGATGCAGAAGGAAGCAGTGGATCCCAAGTCAGTGTTGCTCCCGAGCAGCCACTGGCTCTGCCCAGGGCAACCGAGGACGGCCCTCTTGCCAATGGCCTGGTGGATTCCTTGGATCCCGCAGGGGAGGGCATCAGCAATGGCGTGTTACCAGACATGCCTCCAAGGAAGTCCAAGGAGAAACCGGATAAGAAGAAAGATGTAGTTAAGCCTCCTTACCCTAAAATCAGAAGAGCTAGTGGGAGACTCGCTGGAAGAAAGGTATTTGTGGAAATCCCTAAAAAGAAATACACAAGACGACTTCGAGAGCAGCAAAAAAGTGCTGAGGATGACATAGGGGACCTCAGGTGTCCCCAAGACTCCAGCCTGGACACTGTGGCAACAGAGATGGAGCCAGGGGCCAAAAATGAGAACTGTAGTGCTGGGGTGAAAGTAGAGGAAGTGCTGCAGAAAGTGGTGATAGGGGAGGAGGAGGAGGAAGAGGAGTTGGAGGAGGGGGAGAAGAGGAAGAGCAACTTCAAGTGCATGATCTGTGACAAAGCCTTTCTGTATGAGAAGAGCTTCCTGAAGCACATCAGGCACCACCACGGAGTGGCCACGGAGGTGGTGCACCGCTGTGACACCTGTGGCCAGACCTTTGCCAACCGCTGCAACCTGAAGAGTCACCAGCGCCACGTGCACAGCAGCGAGCGCCACTTCCCGTGTGAGCTGTGCGGGAAGAAATTCAAGAGGAAGAAGGACGTTAAGCGGCATGTGGTGCAGGTCCACGAGGGTGGAGGCGAGCGGCACCAGTGCCAGCAGTGCGGCAAGGGCTTGAGCTCCAAGACCGCCCTGCGGCTCCACGAGAGGACACACACGGGCCATAAGCCCTACGGCTGCACAGAGTGCGAGGCCAAGTTCTCACAGCCCTCTGCACTCAAGACCCACATGAGGTACGGGCAGTGGCTCTGCCAGTGGAGTGTGGTGGGAAATATCTGCAGCTCTGAAAGTGTTTCCAGATTGTAACTTGTTGGCTTATTTTCTTGAAATATGCGCGGAGAAACTGAGGTGGTTCTAGGGTTTGGACCAGTGTGGCTACATCTCCAGGTTTTCATTTCTTAATTTGCTCCCTCTAATAACTGGGAGAGGCTATCTTGGGACAATTTTGAATATTCCTTCTAGGCAGAGATGCTATGAGATTGCGCTCTAGCTTTCTGGAAATCCGCAGTGTTCATCTATCCTGGAGGCCCACAGGGACGCCCACCTTCTCCTGACACAGAACCCAGTTCCCCTACTGCTGCAGAGGCCAGGACCCACAAATCTTGTCTTGCATGCACTGCAGGCCAGGTTCTCCCCTACATGGTGGCCTTTGTTGAGTATGGTTCCTACCACCTCCCCCCGCCAGGACGGGGCAGGGCTAATTACCTGTATTTCTCTTTTCCTGATTCATTTAGAACTTGTGTCTGTGACCATCTGGGTTTCACAGTCCTATTACTGTCCTCAGTGGCATGCCTTCAAGCGCTTTAGGATAGTTCTCTGGTCTTATTTTTGAGATCTCTGGGCTTGGAAAGTATGCCATGGGTTAGTCTGCACTACAGAATTAGCATGAATGGTGTTTTTTGGTTTGTTAATTTGTTTTTGAACTGTAGGTGGGTGACAGTTTTCAAATAAGTTTCCTTAGAATGCTCGTATTTATGCTTGAAATTCAGACAAGCAGTTTTCTACTCTGTTCTGTATCTGCACGCATGCCTAGGTCAGTCTTTGGGGTAGTGGTATGATTTTCATCTTCTTTTCAATTTGTGTATTGTTTAAAAACTTGGTCTAGGAAGCGCGTAGTAAATTGGAGTTGATGGCCACTTCACACTGGCTGTGAAGTGCAAATGCTTATGCACACTCCTCAGAAACCAGCCTTCTTCAGCACTTGGAAAACAGTTCTTTCTAGACAGCTTATGTTGTATTAGGAAGTGGTAGTAAATTTTTTGATAATGTGTACTTTGTCAGCAACAGTCCTGAAGGTGTTAATGGTTGATTTGGGATAAAGAAGCCTTACAAATATTATTTTATTTAGTGCTTTTAAAACTACACTAAGATGTGGTCTCTGCATGCATACGCTGTACAGCATAAACTGGAAGACAGGTGTGGGTGGACAGTCAGCATCTTAAGGGGCAAGATGTCAGTCTGTTGACCTCATGCAGAGACGGACTTGGGGAAGGAGATGATGGCGCTTTCTACCTTTCACTCCATTCATTCTCAATAGGTCTCTTGGAATGAACTGTCTTTGCAGGCTAGAGTGGAAATTGTATTGCAAAGTGAGGTTTGAAATACATCCTAAGTTACCATCTGAATGTTGTACTTTCAGAATTCATACAGGGGAAAAACCTTTTGTCTGTGATGAATGTGGTGCAAGATTCACTCAGAACCACATGCTGATTTATCATAAAAGGTGTCACACAGGTAAATACTCATGCTGTTGTGATTGAATGTCTTTCCTAGCTGTAGACGCAAACTGCGATTTATTAATTTAGAAGTTGGCATCTATCAAATGATGTAAGCTAAAGCTGGGAGAGAGCGTTTCCACCTAGTTAAGTGAGCAAAAATAAATATGTTCACCAAACTTTCCATTGCCTGCGTCCTTGAGGCAATGGTTTTTGCATATCCAGCCGTAGGAACTGGCATTGAGTCTTACGTAGCAAGAGGTATGAAACAGTTCCTATTATTTTAGCTCCAAATTCCATTTCCAGGAATCTGTCGTAAAGAAATTGTTCAGAATACGGGAAAAGCTATATGCTGTTCTCTTTTCCAGCTATTAATAACAAAGCTTTAGAAACAACTCTATTAGTGTAACCACAGGCCGTGGTTCTGAAAATTGACCATTAATATCTCTGAACAGTATGAAAAATATCCACACAGGGATATTGACTTAAAAAATGCACACTTAAGCATACAGTAAATCCTAGCTATATGGAAAACCTGCACATGAAAGACTGGAAGAAAATATTTGTATGTAGTATTAAGGAGGTATGAAATTATCTTGCTTCCACTTTCCAATTTTTTTGATATGTTATAGTGACAGAGAAAATTTAAATTGGCTTTATTCTGATTTAGCACAATACCCTAAAGTTCCGAACCCTGTATTATACAAAAGTACACAGAATCTGCTGTGTGCTATAGTTATCATAGTAACTCTGCTCCTTCATGTTTGCTTGCATTGTCACATTTTTACTTCTAATCACTGTCATATAGGCCTCAAGCTCAAATTCAGGCAAGACAAGAGTTGAGGCATTTAATGTCAAATTACTAGATTGTAAAATGAGCATAAATTGGTGTGTAATGGAAGCTTGGGGGTGGAGAGGTCAGGTCACACTGACCTCTGTCTCACTGTTAAAATCATTTCATTATAACATTAATATATTCAAACCGTATTAAAAGCCGATCTTTATTTTGATGTTTGTGAAATTAGGGCACAACTAATAATCTGATGAGTCTGATTTATGGGACTTAAAGGACTCAAACTGCATAATGAAAATGGCATTTTAACATTTTTTTTTTCTTCTATAATCCATTCCAAGTTGATGGGGATTTGCGACTCTTGAATAGCTATGCCTATTATATCTAATGTGAACTTCCTCTCAAGAGGGACTTTTATTCTAATAATAATCCCTAGAAGTCCTTTTTGAAAAACAATTCTCCAAACAAGTTGTAAAACTGATTTGTTTGGAATGACTAAATATCCAAACTATGAGTTGACTAAATAACTCTTTAATTCTAGCCTAATCTTTCAGAACTTCCCAGGATATTGTGCACCAACTTTGAGCAGGTAGTAAGCATCTTAAGTGAATAAATGTTCTGACAGTTCCAACTAGGAAATGTAGCACGCTGCCTGCCATGGCACCCTGAGAAGCTTGTGGGTTTTAAGAATGGGTTTTATGCTCTTCCTTTATATTTTAATGCTTGAACCATTTCTAATTTTTTGTTTCATCTTTTCATGTAGGTGAAAGACCTTTTATGTGTGAAACATGTGGCAAGAGTTTTGCTTCTAAGGAGTATTTAAAACATCACAATAGAATCCATACTGGATCGAAACCCTTTAAATGTGAAATTTGTTTCAGGACTTTTGCCCAGCGGAATTCACTGTACCAGCATATTAAAGTCCACACAGGTATGGCTGGAATGTTACCAGAAAAGAAAATTCATCATGGCAAGAAAAAAATCCCTAAGGTTTTAGGTTTACTAGAAAGTTATTTGGAATTTAACTTTGCTTTGTGTGTACTAGCATTTAAAAAAAAAATGAGCTGCTATTTTCTGGCTCTGAGAAGCTGAAGTGATATGAACATTTGAATATGGATGTAGCTATGTGAACATTTAAATGTTTTCTGATTAACTTAGAGACAGTGATATCTACATGTCAGTGTGTATACCTGCTTGTATTCATTTCTATTCTGTCACTATGGAAAGGAGGTTGAACTTTCTATAGGTGTAATACCAGCTGCAGGTGTGGCTTCGGGCCCTTGTGGGTATAGGCTGTAAACTCAGTATCTGAGGGACAGTACATTGTGCCTGTCAGCTGACCCTTGAGTTGATCCTTATATAGCTGTCTTTATGGTGGAGTACCAAAGATTTTCCATAGTTTACAAACAGCAGTATTCTAGTTTGTTAGAATGAAATACAGTAGGCTAAGGAGATCTTCTCTTCTGTCTCAGGGGAACGGCCCTATTGTTGTGACCAGTGTGGAAAGCAGTTCACCCAGCTCAATGCGCTGCAGCGCCACCATCGGATCCACACAGGGGAGAAGCCTTTCATGTGTAATGCATGTGGGCGGACGTTTACGGACAAGTCCACACTCCGGCGGCACACCTCAGTAAGCTTGTTTTTAAGAATGACAAATTGCTGCTCCTTAGGCACGCACAACCCTAGGCAGTCAGAAGTGCCTGTCATTCGTTCCATAAGGAGGTGAGGGAATACGTGAGGTCTTTCTTTGCAGTTACTATGACTGAAGAACCAAGTCTCTCGGCCTAGGAAGGCACACTCTGATAAATCCTTTTTTTTTTTTTTTAAAGATTGATTTATTTATGCATACAAGAGCTGGGGTTACAGGCCAGAGGCACGGCGAGGTGAGAGGATTCACCAGAGACAGAGTGGGGAAAAGAACAGGCAGACTAACCAAAGTACACTGCTGAGGAGAGCAGTGGGCAAGTTAGGAGAGGTCTGCTGTGCCATGTGGGTTGCTCCCTGGCTGGCCAGGAATCGAACTTGTGCTGCAGTGGCTGCAGATAGCTTCATAGGTTGCATCTCAACCCTTGCGCCACCAGGGAGGCCCCCATAAATCCTTTTCTAACAGTGACATGGGTGATAGAAAGGTATTAACAGTTAGTAAAAGGATGTTTTTCCTGGAGCAGTATCTAAATTTAAGTTGAAGTGAGAAAATTGTTTTAAAAGATGTATTTGTCATTGTTAGTAGCTGTGAATTGAGGGGTTTACAGTTTCTTGTGCAGAAGCAATCAGTGACTTTTGTTTTGTGTTTGATTTGTAGATACATGACAAGAATACTCCATGGAAGTCTTTCCTTGTTATTGTAGATGGCTCACCTAAGAATGATGAAGGGCACAAGACTGAACAGCCTGATGAAGAATTTGCGCCATCCAAACTTTCTGATAAATTGCTATCTTTTGCAGAAAATGGCCATTTTCACAACCTGGCCACAGTCCAAGACAGTATGCCCGCTGTGCATGGGAACAGTCCCGTAGACCCTGCCTGCAAGTCAGATGATCCTGTGGTGTCCCAGGATGCTCTGCTGGCCACCACCATCAGTGAGCTCAGTGGGCTGACTCCACAGACAGACTCGATGCCCACACAACTTCACTCCTTAACCAACATAGAATAAGCTTGACTTTAGCTGCTAAGTCGGTTGCAGCCTCATCTTTGCTTATATGAGAGAAGCAAAGATAGCTGTATAGGAGATAAGTCAGGGACTAAGCAAAAGAACTATCTGTGGGCAATGAAGGGAACAAGAATGATTTCTGCAGATTTTCCCAAATTTCTGCTCACTTGCACGTCTTGATCAAAGCATTTTTAAAGCTCTCCCTTAAAATCCTGATCTGCATGATCTCAGCTACACTTAACAAAGCAGTTAACATAACCTTACTTAATTCTGGTACAGGTTATATGTGTTAATCATTCTAATGCTTGATTATCTTGCTATTTATGACTTTTGGACAACTGCTTACCTTAACTGTACAGAGCAGTGACCCAGCTCATGAAATTGCTGTACCCAGTCTCACCCTGCCTTAGCTTCCACGTGGGTTTATTTCTGATACTTTTATGGTATTTTTCTACCAAGCTGAAATAAAACTGGGGCCATGTATTTTCAGCTATGTCTTCCCTGTTGAATTGAATGAAGCAAATAAATTTGTTCCGGGGACCCTTGAATGAATTACTGCATTCGTTCCTCTCCATAGCCACTCCCCCCACCCCTCCCTTGAGAAACACTAAAAAAGAAATGACAAATTGGATACTTGCTAACTGCTTAGTATAAGCTCTCATAGCAGTAAGCAGGTAGAACATGTGCCATAAAATAACTTTTAAAATGAAAATGTGGCTGTTTGGATTCTTTCCTAAAAATCAGATTAGGTAAAAGCTGTCCTACCAAAGATTCTAGCAGCAAACTACTATTTATTTTGCAAAGAAGTGTGAATACTAAGCAAGAGGCTTTAGAGGACTTGAAACGTTTCAGCCATTTTATTTACAAAGTAGAATGAGGTAACTGTGTCAAACTTAGAGCAGAGTATTAGTATTTTTGCAGTTTTTCTGACTTAATTTCCAGAAACCCAGACTTTTTCATTTCCACATCCAATGCTTGAAATATTTGTTTCCTTGGGAGCATGTGAGCATATGTAGATGGGACCAAAGGCCTTGGCACACTCATCTTTGATCATGCCTTACGAGAGGACTGTGAAGAATGTGTGTCTTAAATGCGCCTTTGGCTATCACATGCTGGCCTTAATTACTGCTCAAAGTGATTTGTAGTTAAAAGACAATTCTGCTTTATTTTCTAAGCCTGATTCTTGGCTCCAGCAGGTTGGTGGCTTTGATATATTGCTATGTGCTTATGAAGTGCTTCTACTTAACCATATTAATTTAAAGAGAAACTTGAATGATAATTATTTCATTCACTAGTTGATCTTTTCCTCTACATTTTAATTTATTAAACTTGCTGTGAAAACACTTTTTTCTAAAAGAAAGGTAATTTTATCTGTAAGTTTGAGGATGAAAACAGGAATTAGTGAGGGAAGACTTGCTTCCTAAGTGCTTACTTTGTTCTAACATATAACATGTCACAGTAAATATTAAAAACACCATAAGGTGTTTTAGATGCTGATAACATGTTTCACACCTGCTCTTGAAGACAGCCGTACTGAATGATTTCAAATAAATCGACAACTTATCCTAGTTATGTTTACAGAACAAAAAAAATAGTGACTATCACTTTGGTCAGAGAATGGGCCGACCCAGCTGATGAATTGTTTCATGGAATAAAGTTATCTTAAGGAGAAGGAATTTAAATAATTATTTTGTTACCTACTGGAAGAATTTTTGTCTTGAACTTGTTTCTTTAGAAATTCTACAAAAAAAATGTGTTAATAAATGTTTGCTTTGTAAAAATAGTTTTGTAAGTTCATTTCCACTATTAGAATTTAGGCCCTGCAGAAGTAAGATTTTTAGTTGAAACACAAATATTTCCTTAATTTCAGAGGTAATGAAATTTCAAGTCAGAGTCTATAGTTTCAGGATAAATCTATCTTAACAATTTAGATTGCACATTTATCCTTCCAAGTGAAAGGCCTGGTGGTGAGCCACGCTAATCTCTGCAAGAAGCTGAGTAGCTGGTGCTGCACAGTGCAAGTGGACTGAATCCAATGTACCAGTAACACTTGGTACACAGACTTCTCCAATATGGACTTCTCTGTCTACTTCCTGTGGGAGTAAGACTCCTCTTGAGAAGAGAAATTAAAAAATTCCACAGAAGCCATCACAGAGGGGGTTGCCCCTCTATTGTTCTTGCCTGGCTGAGTAAAAGCCAGGCCACCCTGAGTATGTTAGTCTCAGATCAGAGAGCAGGCAAGTGCCCTTGGTTCTGCACTGCCCCCTCAGAGCCTGGAGAGGTGACACCAGGCCTCAACTCAACCATATGGGAAGTACTCTCACCCCACACTCCAAAGTGCTGCCTTTGGTTGTATCATCTTTGTTGTAGAGACTTTGAAAATAAATGATCCCTGTGGTGGGAGAAGACCTTTATTAACGGTGATTTTTAACAGAAATGTGGCTCTGCTTAAGATGATAATCGAAAAAATCAGAAAATAAGTTGTGATAATTAAACTAACCCGTTAAATTGTAGACTGTCGTACCAGAACATTTTTGAAACCAAATGAGTGCTCGTCCCATTAAATGAACCTGATGGTTGTTCACTTAAAATAGCAGTATTACTGAGGGTTGGGGGTGGGGAGAAGGTAGGGACTCATGCAAAGGGCCATCTGTTCACATGTACCAAGGCAAGACCATGTCAGCTACAAACACGGGTTGTACAGTTCACCTCAGCAGAGCCCAGAAACCACCCACCTACCTCTGCCAGTCTGCATAGTGACTCAGCAAAACTCGCAAAAACAGGTCTTTAAACCATCACAGTGGATTCTTTTTTTTAGGAAACACTGACTATAAGAGGCAATTGAATGATACACTAATCCTGAACAATTCAGTATTCCTTGATTGGGATAGACTGTTCTACCATTCATTTTTAAATAAATGCTTTGAATTATCTTTCGGTTGCGGACTTGAAATTTACCTGAACATGGCTCCCTGAGGTTAACTGGCTGTTCATTTAACTCTCCCTTCTCCCCTGCCAACCTCCAATCCTATGTCATATTCCTTCCACGTTCTCGAGGGGAGGAGCTGGCAAGAGGGGCTGGCCTCTCCAGGGAACCTATCCCAATCAGACTTCCATAAAGTTAGTAAAGGCCTGCATCCACAGCTAACAGATGTGAGTGGCTTTAGGGTTCCTTGCTACCCCACCTCCAAAACTCTTCTAGGCATCACTCCTCCATCAACTTTCAAGTGATTATAGGGAGTCTAAAGAATTCAAGCAAGATTCCTTAATGGGGGCAGCAGGAAGGGATGAGAATGTGAGGCTTACAGAGTTCTGAGTGAAGCAACAGACTAAGGTTTCCTTCAAAGTCCCTCATCTTGTAAACTGAATTTCTATTAAGTGACCTAAGTTCAATGATCTATTAAGTAACCTAAGTTTGATATTCACAAAGCCTACAACAGATAATGCCTGTTACCTTCAGCTTGATGGGAAGAATCTGAAGGAAAAAAGTTACTCTTAATCTGTGCAAATGGAGTTAGGAAAGACTAGTCAAGATATTACTCATAATTTCCACTTTATTTACTGTACACGTTCACACAAAACATACATACTCTCTGCTAAGACAGATTTACCATCACATGGGCAGGTAGTTTTCATATGTAATTCTCCACCCGAGAGCAGGAGAGGGAACACTGCAGTGGCCGAATGAGAACCTGACAGATGCAAATCTACTCCTGCTCATGGCTCACACCACAGGCGGGAGGGTCAGAGGCGGCATGCGTGCTGCCAAATCCTCCGAAGCAAGCCACAGAGGTCTGCGTTTGGACATTTTAATTACAGTCAGAGAAAATAGTAAGTGCACACACTTTGGTTACAGTGACACCATCACACACAGGCCACGACTGTGCAAATATACTGTTTTCAAATCATTAAATGAAAAAGGAACTCATACAGCTATAAAAGTGTTGCCACAAAAAGCAAAGCTTTCCTGAAGAGATCTGAATGGACTTTGACTATGAACTAAGCTTAGATTTGTTAAAATATAAGGATTATAACATAAAATCATATTTTTTTCATAAATGACTTTCTATAAATCCAGGAGACCCGAATCAGGTCTCTAGTCATGCTCTTCTCTGTGTTGATGGGACATTTCAAGAAGTCTGGACGCTTTATCACCTGGCAGGTCTGTTCTAGCTGTTACAATCATTTTTATTCTTTCTAGATGAAGTATTAAAAACCAAAATTAATTCTTAACTCAGACACTGATCCCAGGGTTTATTTCACTCTAAATAAGGAACTCCAACATAACATCACCAATACTGCTTTAAAAATCATACTTCTTCATACAGAGGTTTGTTAGTAGATCACTATGAATAAACTGAAATACCTTAAAATAAATCATTTGGTTTTGAGTTTACATGGTAAGTCTGGAAGGTTCTTTTAACAAATGAAAATAAACTTTCTAAACTAGTGATGGAACACGCCAGCTAGTACGAGGATTTAAATGCTCTCCAAATGGATCGACTCACATCTGGAACACAGTTTACAAATGCCCCCAGGCTTTTGAAAAAGAATATTAGGCTGGCTGAAGAATAGGCCGGCTGAAGAATATTAGAATATTAGGCCGGCTGAAGAACCCACATCTAAGCACTTTCTTGTAAGAGACTCCACAGGAAGTGAAGAAGGTCCAAATGGGTTGTGTTCTGAAGTGTACTGAGAGAAACAGCTTTCTGCCAACAATTCCAGACCTTTGAAGGAAGGACAGACTCCAGCGCCCAATACCAGAGTATCTGTGTCTTCTGATTCACCCTTTCTACCCTCAACTGACACTGTGCCATTGCTGACCATCCTTGTCACTAAAGACCAAGGCCGCCACTGTAGAGGGAGAGCCTGTACAACGTGGCCTCAGCTGGGCCTTTTCAACTTCATTTCCTGCTACTGCCCCTCCATTCCACACTGACTTACTCACTTCATCCCAAAGCCTTCCTCACTCAGTCCAGTCACTCATCCTTGGCCAGGGCACACCCACTCTACTTCTGCCCACCCTGGCTACTAATTCCAGGCAAGGGCCATCCAAAAATTAAAACACTACTCAAATACCAATTACTATCTGACATAATATGGAAAATTTCATTGCCTGTCCTTAATGACTGCTGTCACAATTTAAAAAGAACCACAGGTTATATCTGGCAACAGATGTTTCAAAACATAGATCATTTAAGCATAAATAAAGAGATTTAGGAAACAAGATCACGTCTAAAGTATAATGTGAGCATGTAATATATGGGTAGGGATCAAGTTCATAAATAAGAGAGCACATATCATGTAAACCAAAAGAACATGACAGAGTTCAAACACACAAACTAAGACCAATCCACTGGCTAAGAGAAAATTTAAGTCCCCTCAGAAGCTAGTTTGGGTTCTTCTCCAAATGCGCAAGTAGTAAACCCAGTACTACATTTACTTATCTAACCTATCACATTCAATAAAGGGATAAAATGAATGACACACATTCTCAAGCTTTGACTTTGACAATTTACCGGCCTAGAAGAGGATTTACATGACAGTGGCACTGAGGGCACCATCTCATGTGGGAAAGTATATAAACATAAAAGTAAAGTGATATGCCAGTTAAACAACTTTATGTGAACATAAAGAAAGGGGTTTCCATTCCAAGTAAACTGGAAACACTCTCCAGGAAAAGGAGATACTCTGTTTTTCATAGTCTTGTGTGTGTGTGTGTATGTGTGCGTGAGTGTAAGTAAAAATCAGTCAGACTTACCTTGACGTTCATCCACACACAAAAGCAAGCACTGCCAGGAAGCTCCCTTGTCTTATACTATGAAGTAATGCCAGCAGACCCAGGCTATTCTGAGTTTTTGCATGCATGTTAGCATACAGAACAATATACAAAGCAAAGAAAGTGGTCACTAGCACCATCAAAAGAATCACAAGGTAACATCAAGAACAATGAAATTTCTAATGAAAAAGGTTATAAATTCATTCCCAACAACCATCCGAAATTAAACACATATATTTAGAGAATACATCCCAAGCATCTATTAGAACTGGGTTGGGTACTCAAGTCCACAAAGGACAAAAAATTAATGTGGCAAAATTAAATATGGGCCCTGCAAGTATCAAAACAACAGGAATAAGTTTCTGAAGTAGTTTTCAGAAAACCCTGGAGACTCTAACAAGCATGAACTAGCCCATCCTACCCACAATATGCACAGGAGCTTCCCACCTGTCCACTTCATAGCAACACAAACACAGCGAGATTAAAACACACACAGGTCATTTGGCTCAAGTGCAACAAAATTAAGTCATTAAATGGGCATCCCATTAAGATCACTTGGCCCTAAGATGAAACTAAAGAGGAGTTAGCTGCATGCCACAAAGACAGAAACATTTCACTTAAGGTCTCCATCTCCTTCTCCATCCCCTTGAATGGACTTTTTGATACGAAGCAACATGGTAGTAAGCCACTGATCCAAGCGAGATATCGAGTCAAATTCCTTCACCTAGTTTAAGGGGAGAGGAACAGCAATTATTCCAAGGAAATACAATTCATGCACAAAACAACAGTACCCTGAACTATTTAAACATTTATACTAATAATGTGCTATTTTGACTCTTGACTATTTTTTCATTATCTTGTGACAGTTTTGATGGAGCTTGTGACAAGTTCATGTGTTTTTTATAATGCTCTATATGCTATCATGTGCATGGCAAAAATTCCTAGTAGCCTTTACATTTGGAAGAAATCAGATCCTGTGTAAGAATTAGAAGATGGAAAATTAATACTGCTCCATACTCACTGAACATGAAAAGAATATACTTGCAAAGAAGGAATGTGTGGAAGTAGAATTCCTTTAACTGACTTTATTGCATTATCACAGAACAAAATTTCAGTAAGATAAAAATGATGTGGTGGCAAAAGTTAAATGGGAAAACATCCCTTTCAAAGTCATGGTGAATATATTAATGGAGGATACAGCGAACTTTGCTTGATTCTAAACATAAGATGGGAAAATAGAAAAATGTTGAGTCTAAAGAAAAAATCTTCCATCTATTTTATGCCAAGGATATAGCAAACTATTTTATTTTTAAATTGTATTAATAATTTAAATTATATTTAACTGATTTTACTTTATATTTACTTATATATCAGATTATTTTCAAAAGAAACATTCAAACTGCAAATTAAAACACACAGGATACTGTTTATTGAATTTGCCTCACAGCTAAATTCAGTTAACATAGCTATCTAATTGCTAAGGTTTGTAGGCTATATAAACACGACCTTTGTAAAATACACTTTAGGTATACAGGAATAATGTTTAAATAAATGTTCAGCCTTCACACAATGAAAAGAAATTTCTGTAACTTAAACCTTCAAAGAATGTACTATATAGCAAAGGCATAACTTACTGCTTCAGTGTAAGCTTCACTATTCTGTTCTTCATGAGCTTCTAGAAGTTTCTGGTAGAACAATATGGAAAAATTAGTTTAAGTTAAAATTTTCCATCTATGAATAGATACTTTAGATATCGAAACAGTTTTAGTATAACATTGTTACTGCCAAATACCTTATAAAATTGGGAAGCATTAGAATATAATTCAAGAATTACCCCAAGTCAGAGATCCAGGTTATGTGTTAACTTTTCAGAATTGCCTGTTTCAGAACACAATGCTTATATCCCTGACTCCAGTCACATTTGAGACCTATTCTTTAAAAGCAGAAAAGCAAGCAGCAGACTTCATAAAACTTCATTACACCCAATCCCACTTGACAACAAAGGCATTTTTTCCAAAGTTCTAGTGTAACTTACTTTCAATAATTTACATTCTCTTGAATCAGTGAATGCTGGAAACATTTCCTCATATTTCTCAAGAGCAAGCTGAAAGAGAAAAATACTTGTTAATGTCCAATTCACTAAACAAAGGAATAATGTCTTGAACATTACCTTCAATAAAATTTATCTACATCCTATTTAAGGTGGTTTAAGAAGTATTTTGTTAAACTTGCCATCAAAATCAGTTTGATTTTAAATTTTCAATTTTAGTACATAAAAACTTTCTAAACCATTTTTTTTTTCTGAATTAGGTTGCTGTAAAGAAGACAATGTGAATCAAACCTAATTCTAAAACCTTGCAAACCAGATGTCTGTTTTCATCCATAATGGAGAAGTTCTTCCCTATCACTGTCCAATTTTCAAACACATCACAGACTACTGCTCAAGGCTGGAAGGAAAGGGTTTTTTTCCTTCAGCAGCTTTAATTCTGCTCTTCCAATTCCAGACACTAACAAAATCAATGTGCCCATGTTTCTGCCTCTTTTCTCTCAGTTTCCATTAAGCTTTTCAATTTCTCCGCAGCAGATTTAGTGCAGCGCTGTGAAGCTGTCCGCAGCCTCTGCACCGTAGGTTCGATTCCCGGCTGGCCAGGGAGCTACCCACATGGCACAGCAGGCCTCTCCTGCCTCGCCTGTTGCTCCCCTCAGCAGTGCTTTTGATCCGTCTGCCTGTTCTGCTCCCCGCTCTGTCTCTGGTGAATCCTCTCACTTTCCAGCGCCTCTTGTATAAATAAATAAATCTTTATTTTTAAAGATTTATTTATTTATTTATACAAGCACTGGGTACAGTCAGAAGCACGGGAGGGTGAGAGAATTCACCAGAGCCAGAGGGGAGAGCAGTGCAGGCAGACGACAAAGTACACTGCTAAGGGGAGCAGCGGGCAGCAGGAGAGGTCTGCACGCCATGTGGGGCCCTTGACCGGCGGCCGGGGATCGCACCGGCACTGCAGAGGCTGCGTGCAGCTTCGCAACCCAGTGCTCAACCGCTGCGCCAACAGGGAGTCCCAGTAAATAAATCTTAAAAAAAAAATATTTCTCCCTAGTTGGAAATTCAAATTCTATTTCTGAGTTAAAGAAATAGCTAGTTATTCTACTTTTTTTACCTCCCCCTAACTTATTGCAAATGAATCTATGGAAGGAGCATGGTTGCCATGTTTCTGACTTTAAGAGAACAGCCTTGGCAACTGAACATGTTGCCATGTACAAAATTACGATTGGGAACACATACCACACAGCATCATTATTACTACTGTTATTATTATTGTATTATTTTTGTTATTATTATTAATGTACGTGGTTTAATCCTGCTACTAACAAACATCACACAAATGTAGTGATAGCAAGGATGACAGAGTACCTAGGGCCTGTTTTCATGACTGACCCTTATCAGAAAGTGAGCACAGAAGAATGTTTACCTTGGCGTTCAACTCATCCACTATGAAGTGACAGAGCGCTGCTTTAAAGAAATAATCCTTTGCACTGTACTTCAACAAAGGATTATCCATAGTGTTTGCTCCAACCTAGGCACAGAAAGCAAGAGTTAGACTGAAAGTTTCCTTCTTATATTAGACAAACCAATTCACATCTGCTGCCTTTCAGAAAATATTTCTGTATCTTACATTAGGTTAGTCAGGAAATATATTTTTTAACCTAGTATCATATACTAGAAAATTTTACCAGACAAGAAGTAATATTGAATACATAAAGTGCTGACTTGTTAAAAATGATTCCAAATTTACTTTCAGGAATATGGAATAGATGTACTTTCCTTTATCTCTCCTATACACAGCTAAACCCCAATTAATATAAAACAAATATAGAAGACTGAAAGTTGAGAAGAGAGCTGACCAGCCAGGGACCTAGAGATACAGACAAAATATGGCAGTGAATTCCCTGGATTGTTTTCTTTCATCTGTCTTTGAATTGGAACAACCCAGACGTACTAGTAGGTGTAAAAGGAGAATTATAAGTCTGCTGTCTCTGGCCAAAGGCAGAAAACGGGCAGCCTAGCAAGACAGAAAACATTTATAATAATAACTACTCTATTCTGGTCAAAGACCACAGAAAAACTGTGGCTCCACCCCATTCACATCAGCAGACTCAAGACATCTACCTTTTTAAGAATGCAAGGAGCCAAATACTCTCACAGAGGTAGCTTCATAGCTTCAAAGACCAAGTAGGGAGCCAAACCTTCCACCCCTGCCACTGAGTTGAGGATCACATGGGAATCCTGAGTTTCAAGTCTACCTAGCAGGAACAGGTGGCCCTCATCTCCAGGGATATGGACTCAGAAAAGAAAAGACTTAATGGAGAGTTAAGACTTTCATCATCACCTAGTAATAAACAAAGACAACCCTAGTACGGTGTTAGCAGAGAGCAAGCAAGGACTGGAATGCCTGCCTCTGCCCAGGAGGTAACAAGAGTCCCTCCAACCCATACAATGGAGGCTGAGTGGGAAGCCTGAACTTCTTTACCACCACCTGGCAGTAAAGAGGTGACAGACTCCTTCCTTTTCCAGTCAGAGCTGTGTCCAAGAACACCAGTTGGGACAGAAGGTTTAATTACTGCATTATGTCTTATAATACAAAAATGTACATTTTTCTTTTCTTTTTTTAATTAATATTTTATATAATTTTTACATCATTTTCATTTTTGCATAATGTATGCATAAAAATGTACATTTTTCAATTGATGCTTATGCCCAATACCAAAAAAGATCTAGTGAATGAAGGAAGACAACTGGTGTTTAATAACTCTGAGTTGATAGAATTTTAGAATTATCTAACAAAAATTTTAAAGGGACCCTTATAAAAATACTTCAGCAAGCAATTACAAAATTGCTTATGAAAAAAACCAACAGAAAAAAAAAAAACAGAAAGCATAAATAAAAAATTTCATAGCAATATACCCTAAAGGGTATTTTATTTTATTTTATTATTTTTTTAAAGATTTATTTATTTATGCATACAAGAACTGGGGTGTAAGCCAGAGGTGTGGAGGGGTGAGAGGATTCACCAGAGACAGAGTGGGGAACAGAACAGGCAGAGTGACTGAAATACACTGCTAATGGGAGCAGCAGGTGAGTCAGGAGAGGTCTGCTGCACCATGTGGGTATCTCCCTGGCTGGGGATGGAACTCGTGTTGCAGAGGCTGTGGACTGCTTCATAGGTTGCAACTTAACCCCTTGCACCACCAGGGAGGCCCCCTAAAGGGTATTTTAAAAATGAAAATTTCATAAGTAAAAAATACAACTGACAAAAAAAAGTGGATGGGCTCAACATTAGAATATATAGGACAATGAAGAGAATTAGTAAAGTGGTAAAACATTAGCAATTACTCAGTCTAAACAACAGATAGTAGACTGAGAGAAAAAAATGAACAGACCCATCAGAGACTTTTACGACTATAAGATTTAACATCTGAGTCCTAGAAAGGGAGGAGAAAGAAAGGGGTTGAAAAAAATCAACAGTTAAAGAACTAATGGCTTAAACTCCTCAAATTTCACAAAAATATAAATTTGAGAAGTCTAGTAAAACCCAAACAGGATAAAAGCAACGATGTCCATGCCAAGTCACATGAACTTCTGAAAACTGAAGATAAGGAAAATGTTTTGAAAGCAACTAGGGAAAACCAATGCCTTATCTACTAGGGAAAAAGAACTTGAATGATAGCACATTTCTCTTCAGAAACCGTGGAGGTCACAAGTAGCACATTTTTCAAGTACTAAAAGAAAAGAATTGCTAACTCAGACCTGTAAGCCAGTTAAAACATGCTTTAAGTATGAAGGGGAAATCAAAACATTCCCAATTGAACGAACACTAGGAAAATCTGATGCCAGATTTTAGCTAGGCCTACCTAAAAGAAAGGCAAAAGAGAAAGAAAAAATAAGACAAGAAATCTTCAAACATCATGAAGGAAGAAAGATCATCACAAGCCAAATCTGGGTCAGACAATGAACTTTTCTTCTCGAGTTTTCTAAATTAGCAAATAATTTCTAAATTATTTGATGGGTGAAGTAAAAACTGTAGCACTGATGAAGAGGAAAATAGCATATGTTGAGTGAAAAAGGTAAAGGGATAGAAAAATTTCTGTATTTTACTGAAACTGATAAAATGATGACATCATTAGTCATGTTATAGTTATGCAAATGTAATACACATAGAGCAATTACTAAAAAAAAGTTATATTTGAAGAGATACACTATAATCAAGCAACTCACTGGAAGGCAGGAGAAAGAAGAGAAAAACACAAGAACTGAGCATAAATAGAAAACAAAAAAAAATGGGAGACAAACCATAACTTATCAATAATTACATTTAATATCAATGGTCTAAATACACCAATTAAAAACAGAAATTGACAGAATGGATTATGAAGCACAACTTAACTATATGCTGGCCACAAGAAATTCACTTCATAATGATATTATTATTGAAAAGAAAGTTGGGAGGCTATAGTAACAGCAGATAAAAATCAACTTCAGAGCAAAGAAAACTGCCACAGACACAGGGGGACATTACACAATGTTAAAAGGGTTAACCCCCAATAAGACAAAGTAATCCTAGATATGTATGCATCAAATTACAGAGCTGCAAAATATGTCAAAGATTGAGAGAGAGAAAAAGAGATAAAAAAAGGAGAGACAGTCAAATCTACAATTAAATGGGCAACTTCCACATACTGGACCAAAAAACAATTTTTTTTTAAAGATTTATTTATTTATTTATACAAGCACTGGGTACAGTCAGAAGTGCAGGAGGGTGAGAGAATTCACCAGAGCCAGAGCAGGGAACAGAACAGGCAGACTGACGAAATACACTGCTGAGGGGAGCAGTGGGCGTGGCTGGAGAGGTCTGTCTCACCATGTGGGATCCTCCCAGGTGGGCGGCCGGGGAACCAACCAGCGCCCCAGAGGCTGCAGGCAGCTTTGCAGCCCAGCCCATAAAACAAATTTTAACAAATCTATCAGAATCAAAATCAGGCCTAGTCAGAATGAAATCAAACTCAGAATCAACATGAAATAAATTAAAACAGAACAATGTAACAGTCAAAGCAATGTGATAGCGAAGTCAACAGCAATAAAAATGCAAACAAAACAAAGAGGAAGATCTGTAAGCTAAGCCTTCATTTCAACTCTCTAAAAAAAGAGTGAAATAAATCCATAGAAAGTAGTAGTATGGGCCTCCCCTGGCAGTGCAGCGATTAAGCACTGGGCTGTGAAGCTGCCCACAGCCTCTGCAGCACCAGTTTGATCCCTGGCTGCTGGTGAGGGTCCCACATGGCGCGCAGACCTCTCCTGCCACACTCGCTGCTCCCCTCAGCAGTGTACTTCATCGGTCTGCCTGTTCTGTTCCCCACTCTGGCTCTGATGAATTCTCTCACCCTCCCGCGCTTCTGACTGTACCTAGTGCAGTTTATTTATAAATAAAGAAATGAATCTTTAATATAAAGATTTATAAATAAATAAATCTTTAAAAAAAGTGGTAGGATGAAAATAATAAAGATAACAGTAAAATTAATCAAAGTGAAAAAGAAAACCATCAAATTCTATCAAATATTTACAGAAGAATTAACAATCTTTCACAAATTATTACAAAAAATAGAAAAGGGAGTACTTCCCAACTTACTCTATGAGGCTAGTGTTACCTTGCTAGCCAAACCAAAGACATCACAAGAAAAGAAAATTAAAGATCAATATGCCTTATAATGATGCAAAATACTACCAAACTAATTCTAGTAACCTACAAAAAGGATTATATACCATGACTCCGCATTAAAGAATTAATTTTGTCCATAGTGAGAGCTTCCCTTTACCTGTGGCTCCTAGGAGGCATTCACTAAGTCCTTAGAAAGTCCTGCATGAAAGATAAGGCAAGTGGGTTCAGGCTCAACCTACAGAGGAACTCAGAATATGGGTGATCAACCAGGTCTACATATCTGAACCCCATAAAAACTCTGGACCCCAATTTTAGTGAGCTCTTCTGGTTGGCAATATTTTTTTTTCTTTAAATTTATTTATTTATACAAGCACTGGGTACAGTCAGAAGCGCGGGAGGGTGAGAGAATTCACCAGAGCCAGAGCAGGCAGCAGAGCAGGCAGAAGGACCAAAGTACACTGCTGAGGGGAGCAGCGGGCGGCAGGAGAGGTCTGCGCGCCATGTGGGATCCTCCTCCGGTGGCCGGGGAGCAGCTGGGGATCAAACCGGCGCTGCAGAGGCTGCTGGCAGCTTCACAACCCAGAGCTCAACCGCTGCGCCACTGGGGAGGCCCTATATATTTTTTTTTAAAGATTTATTTATTTATGCATACAAGAGGTAGGGTATAGGCCAGAGGTGCGGGTGGTGAGAGGATTCACCAGAGACAGAGTAGGGAACGGAACAGGTGGAATGACTGAAATACACTGCTGAGGGGAGCAGTGGGCATGACAGGAGAGGTCTGCTGCACCATGTAGGTTAGCTCCCTGGCCGGCTGGGGATCGAACTCATGTTGGTAGTGACTGCAGATAGCTTCATAGTGCTGCGACTTAACCCCTTGCGCCACCAGGGAGGCCCCCTGGTTCGCAATATTCTATGCATATTTTACTATTTGCACAGTTCCCATAGGGGAAGACAACAGGAAGTGCCATAACTAGAAATCTTCTGGACCCTGAACTTTGACTGATTATAATTTGTATCTTTTTCTAAAATAAACTGTAATTGTGAATCTAACAAATTTTAGTGAGTTCTGTGAGTCATTCTAGAGGATTATAAAACTTGAGCATATTTCTTAGAGACTCTTCAAATTTTGTGATAACCAAGTAGGATTTATCCCAGGAATGTAAGGTCGGTCCAACCTATAAACAATTAATGAAATGCACCATATTAATAGATCAAAGGACAAAACCACATGATCATCTCAACAGACGCAGAAAAAGCACTTGACAAAATCCAACACCCTTTGATGATAAAAATACTAAACAAGGAAGAGAAAGAACTTACTCAAATTGAGAGGGCATCTATAAAAACCCACAGCTACATAATACATAATGGTTAAAGAATGGAAAGTTTCCTTTAAAAGATGGGAACAAGATTAAGTAGCTCTTGCTACTTTCATTTAACATTGCACTGGAGCCAGTAGGGTAAATGACAAGAAAATGAAGTAAAAGGCATCCAGATTGGAGAAGAAGCAAAACTACTACTATTTTTTAGATGACATGATTTTGTACACAGAACATCCTAAGAAATTCACAAAAAGCCATCGGAGCTAATAAACAAGGTTCAGGAGGCTGCAATATATAAAAGCAGCAATCCAAGAAGAAAATTAAGAAAAAATCCCATTTCTAATAGTATCAAAAAGAATAAAATGCTTAGGAGTACATTTAACTAAAGAGCAAGACTTTCACATTATATAAACATTGGCTAACAAAATTAAAGAAGATCTAAACAAATAGCCACTCATGGAAGATGATGTTAAGATGTTGTTAAGATGGCAGTACCTTCCAAAGTAGTCTACATATTCACTGTACTCCCTGTCAAAGTCCCAGCTGGTTTCTTAGCAGAGATTGAAAAGCCTACCATAAAATTCATATGGAAATACAAATGTTTGTGAGCAGCCAAAATGATCTTGAAAAAGAGCAAAACTAGAGGAGTCACAATTCCTGACTTCAAAACTTAAAGCTACAGTGATCAGAGTAGTGTGAAAATGGCACAAAGACAAACTTATAGGAAAACGGAACAGAACAGATAATCCAGAAATAAACTTTGCACATCGTTCAAATAATTTAACAAAGGTGCCAACATCATTCAATGGCAAAAGGATAGTTTTTTTAAACACATGGTTCTAGGAAAACTGGATAGCCACATGCAAAAGAATGAAGCTGGACCCTTACTAATAACAAATAAAAAAAAAATGAACTCAAATGCATTTAAGATCAAACTTAAAAGTTGTAACTAAAAAAACTCTCAGAACAAAAAGGAGAAAAGATTCATGACCCCGGATTTGGCAGTGATTTCATGGATATGTCATAAAAAACACATGAGAAAAGAAACCAAAATAAATAAGACAAATAGGACTTCACTGAAATTGAAAACTTTATGAATCAAAGGACACTAATATTAAGAATAAAAGGCAATTCGCTGAATGGGAGAAAATATCGGCAAAACATCTATCTCTAAGGAATATATATCTATTATATTCTGGAGAGATATATATATTTTTCTAGAGATCTCCAGAAAAAAAATATAAAATATGTGCGCGCGCGTGTGTGTGTGTATATATATATATCTCCACAATATATAAAGAATACATAAAGAATTTTTAAAACAAAACACAACGGAGCCCTTATACCCTGCTGGTGAGAGTATAAAAAGGTATAGCCACTGTGGAAAAGACTTTTCTGTCAGTTTCTCTTAAAAAAAAGTCACATGGCCAATGAATATCAAACCTAGCTACGTAACCAAGACAACTGCAAACACATCTACAAAAACTGAACAATTGTTCATAGCAGCATTATACATAGTAGCCCTATAGTGAAAGCAACCACATGTTTATTAGTTGACAGACGCATAAACAAGCTGGGAACATTGCTCAGCTGTAAGAAATGAAGTATTAGTACATCATTTAAGTGAAAGAAGCTAGTAACAAAATGACTCATACCATGTGATTCCACATACACAAAGGCCTACAAAAAGCAAATCCACTGAGACAGGAAGAACATAGGATTTTTCAGGGACTGAAAGAGAGGAGAGTAGAGTTTCTTTTTGGGATGATGAAAATGTTTTTGGAATTCAGTAGTGGTGATGATTTATGCAACTCTGTGAATACAGTAAACACGAACGACTTGTACTTAAATAGAAGTATATAATGTGTGAATTACGTTTTAAAAAGAATTAAATAAAAAAATTAATTTAAAAAAAAGATCCAGAAGGACATTCATCAGAAGCTAAACAGCAGTGCCTTACCTGCTCGTAAATCTCAATGGCTTTCTGGTACTGCTCAAGCTGGGCGGCATATGCTGCCACCTTCAGGAGACACTTGTTTGCCGAACTGCAATCAAGAATTAGAGCAGAATAAATAATCATCTCATAGAAAAATGAAAAGATATCCCAGTACACCTTTATTTGATACAGCCCAATATACTCACAAAGAATAGTGAAGGTTTGTCTTTTATCATATAGCAAAATAAATTAAGAATAATAATACTTGCCTGTTGGATTCTTCTCCTTTGTAATAATCAGCTGATTGTTCATAATGAGCGATCGCCTAAAAATACACACCTATGTTATTTTCAAATGATTTGAAGAACTTCATCTAAAAAACCATATTATAAATAATCCTGTTGCGACACAGTAAACCTTTCATAACCTGGTTTACTTCATTTAGAGAACACAAGAAATCATGTATCTCCAGACAAGTGTAGAGGCAGAATATTGGCTGGTGGGCAAAATATCTTCTTCCCTTCCCTCATGGCAAATGGTCAGTTACACCCTTTTCCCAGCCTGCACTGTAATTAGGGGTAAGCCATGTGATCTGTCCTTTGCAATGGGATGTAAGTAGACACGCTGTGGGCTACTTCTGGGCTTGGCCCACACATGTGATTTTGTATTCTTCTCCAGTCCATTTCCCTTTCCCATGAGCATGAACGGCAATGACCAAGTCTAGAGCAACAATGAAGTCACAAAATGGAGATGGCAAAAATTCTGTCTGCCTAGTTTCTACAAAGGCCAGAATGTAGCCCACTCCCTGGATCTCTATCACTGACAAATCCAGAACAGTTACACTGGATTGTTATTTTAGAGACACGTGAAGCCCTATCACATTTCAGATCTATAGCTTGCTATGGCAGTACAAACTTTCTTCACTAATAGCAAAAGTGACATCTAAAATAAGGGTGTTGCCTTCAATCTGAAATATGTGTGTTACCACAGGAGAGCTCAGTGGTCGCAAAATTTAGTGGTTGCTAAGTTAACAGACAAAGGGAGAGGAAACAGGTTGAAAGCTGGAAAGCTCAAAGTCCTTATTATGTTATGGCTTCATATTCAGTGAAATCAAACACACAACTCTGAAGGCAGAAAGATGCCCACTGAAGCCAGAAATTTTATGGGATGCAGCTCTATAAAAAGAGCCAATGATAGTGAGTGCTGCATCTTTCAGCAAGGCTTTACAGGAGAGAACAACCTGGAAAGAATCATCTTTTGCAGGCAACTATAAGAAAAGGACAAAGTCCAGAGATGGGAGTCTCACAAAACTGGGAAGACCAATAGCTTCTATACCCTAAATGGCAAGAGGTAAGTATGAACAGTTTTAAACTAGTGGGGATGGCAAACTTCTCTGAAACAGGCCAGATACTAGATATTTTTAGGATTTATGAGTCACAGATCTATTGCAACCACTCAGCTCGCCTGTGGTAACACAAAAGCAGACACAAATGATACATAAAATGAACAAGTATGGCTATGTTTCAATAAACTTCAGTTATGAGCAATGAAATTTCAATTTCATATAATTTTATGTGTCATGAGATGCTTTTTTTCCTACCAATGATTAAAAAATGTAAAATCTACTCCTACCTTGCAAGAGTACATAAACAAGTGTTGGGGTCATAGATTCCTCCCTCAACATTAACTTTTTCCTAGTAAACCCAAAGAAGGAGCTGGCATTATGTGAAAATCAGAGTACAGACGCTGCCTTCCCACTCAAAACCATTAGTTCAATGGCTTCAAGGTGTCCCTATTGAGTTAAGAAAGAACAGGGACAAGAAAACAACAAACAACATAAAACAAGCTAAGGAATTAGGTTAAAAAATCCCTTTGGTTGTAGTTACTGGCACATGGAGCTGACAAGAAGCAAACAGATGTGCCCCATTGAGCCTCCACTGAAGCCACAGGCTAAAGAGGCAAAGTCAACATTAACTGTGTCTGGATTGTATTGTGGACAGTTCTGTGAAAAGTAAGGCACTTCTATGCTTGAATAATTATGTTTTGGGTCTACTCTTTCAGTCATTTAGACTACCTTAATATGCTTCCTAAATTTTATGTATAAAAGGAAAAAAAACTGGAAACAACATACGTGGTTAAATATAACGGACTACTGGTAAGATTAGAAGTAATGACAGAAAGTATCAATATGGAATTTTCCCTATACATATTAAATAACAGCCATAAAAGAAGAAACACACTATAGCCCTCTTTTTACAAAGATAGACACATATGGAAGACATCTGGAACCCATTCCTTTGGAGCCCTTCTTAGAGCTGTCACCTACAAACATAGATGAGGTTACTGGACAAATGTACATCTTTTCCCACTATAATGTAAGCTCTATGAGGGTAGGTCTCTGATGGTTTGCTCACCATTAAGTCCCTGAGTCTAGAATAATGCCTATCATATACTAGGTGCTCAATAAATAGATGCTAAATGAATGAATGTAAACTGCATTTCAAATGAAGGTTCCCTATTAACTACTGCCAATATCTAGGTTAATTTGGAATGTCTTTCAATGAATTTTTAATCAAAAATAATTGTCTTTGGGGCCTCCCTGGTGGCGTAAGGGGTTAAGCACCACACTATGAAGCAATCCCCAGCCTCTGCAGCACGAGTTCAATACCCAGATGGCTAGGAGGGAGCAATCTACATGGCGCAGCAGACCTCTCCTGTCTCTCCTGCTGCTCCCCTCAGCAGTGTATTTCACTCAATATGCCTGTTCTGCTCCCCACTCTGTCTCTGGTGAATCCTCTCACCCCCGCATCTCTGGCCTATACCCCAGCTCTTGTATGCATAAATAAATCTTTAAAAAAATTGTCTTTGAACTGTCTTCATTTCCTAAAGTATTTGGCACTCCTCCCCATTTTAATAAATGGAGTAAAGTATCAGAAATATGGCCAAATTTTTCTATCCATGTTCCCCAGGGTCAGAAAACAGTGAAGGGTTATAGTTTCTCTGAATTATTTAAAAGATCACATAAAGAGGGCTCATTTATTATATACTTCCATGATTTTACACTTCATTGTTTACCAGCTAAAATCTGAATGAATCAGAGAACATATAAGTATTATGTATTAGCAGGGAAGAAATTCCTTTGCAATCAATCAGATATTAACTGATTCAAACTGAAACTTCATGCATCACCAACCACACTGTGATGAGTCCAACCAGGGAAGTGAAGATGGTGTTTCTAAATACAGGGAAGAAAACAAGCTATCCCTGTGGATATTCTTAAAATGCTTTTCTTTTAAAGAGTACACATCAGTGAAAAGAGTTGCCACCTACTGGCCAACTCACAGAATGTCAGGGACACCATGAGTAAGGATGGGGGCTTCAGAAAGGGACCTGAAAAATCACCAATGTTTTTAACAAGATGGAAAACAAGAGCACACCTTAGATCATTTCATCCACCTTGAATCTTACAGAGATCCATGTAGAGAAGTAGCTGTCTGAGACCGTGCCCTGGCAGCAGAGAGGGTACTGTGCTACGGGACCTTGCCTCACCGATCTTCTGAGCATCATGGAGAAGGAACTGAAGCAGTAGCTTTAGCTGGCAAGAGGTTCTATGTACAAGTGCTTGTACCCCCAAGACAATTCAAACTCCATAAAGATACTGTGCCTGTCCAAGACAGCCTGACCAAATAAATATTTCATTCACAGCATACGCATACCCTTCCTGTTCTGTCACTGACTTTGCATCAGGGAACAAAGAGCTCATCATCTGCCTGCAGGTTCTACAAATAATCTCTCCAAAGAGAAGGTTCACAGGCAAATGCCAATGGTCCTGATTTAGTCAAGATACGGGGCTAGCCTTGGAAAAGCATGACACAGAGGACCAAAAAGGTCAAATAATGAAATAGATGCAACAAGTCCAAGTGAATTTTGTGCTAAGTAACCAAAAGGTGGCAGTCAGCATGAAATCAGAGTGAGAGTTCACAAAGACAATCCAACTTTAGTACTCAGAGATGCCTCCCCAAACCATCTGAGACTCCATTAGCTCTGGGAGATACACAGCTAGGGTAGAGATGGGACGTCATTTGTTTATCAGAGCCTACTGTCCCAGAGTTCTGAGTTCTTGGGATAAAGCAGTAAACAGGGGCAAAGCCCCCTACTGACATGGAATGGCCCCCTCTAGTGGAGGGAGAGAGCCGATGAACACCCGGCCTGATGAACAAGCATGTCATAGCATGTGATGGAAAGTGACAAGTGCACTACAAAAATAAAAAAAAAGGAGTGAGATATAAGAAATGTCTGGGTATGTAGCTGTGAAAGGTTGAGGTTCTATTTTAATTATGTAGTAATGATAGATTTCATGGAAAAGGTAAAAAAAATATTGAAGGACAAAGGGAAGTTAGCCACATGGACATCTAGGGAAGAATTATCCAAGTAGAGGCAAAAGCTATGCAAAGGACCTGAAGCAGGAGCTTATCTGGCATGTGTGAGGAGCAGCAAAGGGGTCAGGGTGACTACAGCAGGTGCAGCAGGGTACAGCAGGGAAGAAAGGCAGGAAAGAGTAACAGAAAGATCCAAGAGGCATGTGGTAGGGGGTAGGGGGTGAAATCAGGGGGTCATTGAGGCTACCTCCACGGTTCTGGCAGTTCTTCTGACAGGGGCCAATGTCAGTTGTAAGCAAAAGTAAAAACACAATCTAATTTACTGTTGACAAGGATCACTCCGGCTACGCGGTTAAGTTGGGGGTGAGACAGAATGTTATTGATCACATCAAAAACAGGTATAATAAATGAAATTATTATTTTTGTCAAAAGAGAATTCTCTCATGTTTGCATTAGTATCTGTCCTGCTAAATACTAAGTGACTGACATTATATTTACCCCCTTGATCCAATGGGATTTTGATGAACCTGCATATTTCTCAGTATAAAGTCCCCTTTATCTGAGAAAATATGTAAGGAGGAATGGAAAAGAGTGAATTCAAAAGGAAGACAGTGATGACTGGGGACCCTGTGCCCAGGACTCAACTTCAGTCAGAGTAGAAGAAAGGAGGCCAGCTCAGAAGCTTCTGCAGTGATCCAGCGGAAACTGGGGGACAAGGTAATGAGAAATGGTGATACTCAGGAGTTTTGAGGACAATGCTCATAGAAACTGCTCTTGGGTTGGATGTGGAGAAAGAGAAGGCAAGGATGCCTGTGGTCTGAAAGGGAACACTGGGTGTGGTGGGAGTGCAAGATCAAAATCAGTCTCAGACATGCTAGGTTTGAAATGACTACTGGATGCGAGGGGAGATGTTGGCAGACAAGCGGATACAGGAACCTGAAGTTAGTTCACAGAGAGGTTTGGGCTGCAGATAGACTTTCAAGTCACTGGCAAAGAGCTAACATTTTGACTGAAAGCTGAATGAGTGCAGTAAGAGGGAATAAGTACAGAATGAGAGAAGCCCTAATCTCAGGACACCGCACACTTCAGCGGGGGAGAAGGCGGCCAGCCAAGGAGTCAGGAAAGAATACTCAGCGCAGTGGACAGATAATCAGGTGGGCACTAAGTCCAGAAGCAAAACAAAGGTGAGGATTGTCCAGAGCCGCAGGGGCGCAGAGTGCCATGATCCACTCAGGAGGCATGGACAGTGCTTCGAGCACGTTTGGCATCCATTAGTCTGGCAGTAACTAGTCAGATCTCTAATATGGTTTGCCTTTCTCATTTACATCTGCCATCTTTCATAGTTCTCAGAACAGCTTTACATTAACACTTATCTCTAGTCTGATTTAAGGCAGCCTCTGGAATCTGACAGATGCTTTCCTCCCCTTAAGAACACTCTGTCCCTGTTGGCAATCCCGTAACTGAGAAGACAACAGAAGAAAGGAGAAATCTCAGCACTGGGGTGGGTTGTGCATTAGCTCAGCTGGTTCCAATCCAAGTGACCCTAAGGAGCATTACCCTTTTGGACCCTTGTTTCCACACCTGTAAAGACACTCCAGTGTAGTACAGCTGAAATGCAGAAAAATTCATGTCATGCCATCAAGGACAAAATCTGGGAAACAGTAGGTGTTCAGTAAATATTTCCTCCTTCTTCTCTTATTTTGCTCCTATAGGTATATAACCTCATTTTACTGCACTTCACTTTATTGTGCTTCACAGAGTCTGCACTTTTTTTTTTACAAACTAAAGGTTTGTGTCAAGCAAGTCTATGGGAACCATTTTTTCAACTGAAATGTGCTCATTTTTTTTAGCTCAGATATACTCAGCATTTTCCAGTATCTTTTAATTAAGGTATGTATATTGTTTTTTAAGATAATGCTATTACACACTTAATAGACTATCATAGAGTGTAAGCATAACTTTTATATATACTGAGAAACAAAATAAAATAATTTGACTTGTTTTGTTGATATATATATATATATATATATATATATATATACTTTATTGCAATGGGTTGAAACTAAATCCATGATAGCTCTGAGGTGTGCTTATATAAACCACAACTCATAAATTCAGACCCAAATGAAACACGTTTGACCAAGCTGGCATTTGCCTATCTTCTTCCTCAAGGTCAGGGTATGAATATAAAGACATGGAAATGTCTGCCAGGACTTAAACTTTCTTCATAGGGTACTGCCGAGGCCTCAATGAAAGAGATGAAGAGTTTTCTGGTAATCTCAATGTTTTGACATGAGTCAGAGAGAACAGAAATAATAGGTAGGTTTGCTAAATCTTAACCAGTTCTTGTATCTCAGACACCCACTTTAGAAAAATAGCCTTTCTACTTCTCAGCCTACCAGGTCCCTGAAGCCATCTGTGATTATTACTCTGTGCCACTTAATTCTGCTGGAAGAGAGATTTCCGCAAGTCAACTTAACTACCTATTCTGCACCAAGTTTATGAGGAATCTTGTCCATTACTTACCTTCTCGATGTCTACAAGTTCAGTCTCATAGATCTCAGCAATGGTAATATGGTGCTTGGCTGCAATTGTAAACCTTCCCTGGAGAGACAAATAAATAAGAGAATCATATTCCTGTTCTGCCTATTTGAAAGCCAATTAATTTGGGAACAATAACAAAAAAGAATACAACTCGAAGCCATCTCAGGACTCCACCCCACAGCCACTCAAGTAAGGCAATATCTTACCATGTCTGTGTAAATGTCGATGGCTGCATTTAAGCAGTTGATAGCCTCTGCAGCGTAGGCATTTAAGAAAAACAATGAAAAATCCATTCAGTCAAAGAGGGTTCAGGTGAGCCTATCTTCTTGGTTGCCACTAAAATGTTAAGGAGCTCCCAGGAGTTTGGGGTGGAAGGTGGGTAGGTTAATGAGAAGCAACACAAATCACGCACAGTCCAGACCCATCAGCATGCTCTATCTGCAGCCGCTGCAGGGTAAGTTAGGGAACTGGAGGTGGAGAAGTACTGGCTGAGTACTCTTAACCTGACAGTGAGGACTCCATCCAGAGAAAGACTGCATTATAAAGAAGACAAAACCACGAGGTTTGTCATCAACAAACCTATTTTGTATCTGATAAAATATAAATGTATTCTTCACTGATATCATGTATGTATATTACTTTTGGAAGACAGTACCACTTTACTAGAAGATCACTTCAACAGGTTCTATTCTTCTTGCTAAAATCAAAAGTCCTTTGAAATTCCTGTTCTGACATCTCTCAAGTTAAGTCAACATTTTGTACAATGTTAAAAGATGCTAAATTTTGGTCAACTAACATGCACACAAAAGGAAAGGGAAAAATCTAATAAATAAGAGTGATAATAAAGTATATTAATTTTCCTAGTAAGTGAGTCAGCAAATTTCCCATCATAAAGTGGCAGTGTTTATGTTAGCGCATAGTTGACAATTCCAAATTTATTGCTTTTGGTTTAAAAGAGCAAGCAGAGAATAAAAGCCTAACTGAAGAATTAGAAAGGTTAAGCAGGTTAATAAAAATTAAAAGCAATTTCCCCTTATAAACTACACAAGAAATGTGGATTCACTGTTAAACCACTAAACACACAGAAAAGTATAAAGAGAAAAATAGCTAGCTGTAGTCCCACTCAAACCCATTTTTGGTATTTTGACACAATCCAGTGCTGATAAAATCCAGTGTTTTCTAGATGCATTTCTATGTGCACAAACTTCTTTATGAATCTGAGATCTCAATTTCTACGTGGTTCTTTAGTTACAAATAAACATTTGTCAGGTCACTGAAGATTCTCTGAAAGTAGGGATTTTAATGTCTGCATAATATTCTAAACTATGGACACATTATAATTTTACCATTATTCTTGCTCCTCTATTTAGATTGTCCAGTTTTTCACTTTTGGAAATAAACTGTGATTAATCTTAACACAAAAGTCCTTGAAGATATCTTATTTCTGTCTGATATTTTCATAAAAGTTAGGATTTCTGTGCTAAAATGAACTGCTGAAAGAAAAGGGGAGATTGTGTTGCTATACGGCATGTGGAGGAAGGAAGAAATTATGCTTTTAATTGCAAAGTATCTACTCCTCTAACTGAAAAAATAACATTTGCAAAATTTTATTTTAAATACTCAAGTTCTTCCTTAAAACAAATACTTTGGAAAACACTTCTAAAAAAGTCAGATGGATACTGTCTGAATAAATTGCTTTTAATTTTCAAATATTACAATCTCCCATTACTGAATCTTGAAATACACTAGGTATTTAGGAGTAAGGAAACATTTTGCTTCCTTTAATGAACAATATACATATTCATAAAATTAAGATATAAGAAGTCTTAGATAAAATTAATTTCTAAAAAATTCTCCAAAATGCAACATAAATGGAGTTTATAATGGTGTTAAAAACTAAAACAGGGTAAATTTAATGCATTTTCTCCTCCAAAGGATTAAAAATGATTTCTAAAGTTACCAAAATCTCTATTATTCTAAAGTACAAAATCTTTTCACTAGGATTCAAAATGTCCAACAATGTAATTGTGTACTAGGTTACCAACATTGACCCCCTCCCATCCACGGCACCCAGAGACAGAGGCATGCCTTACCTTGAGGGTCTGCCTTTTTGTAAGCATTTCCAGCATCCACAAAGCTGGTAGCAGAATCATGTTTGCTCTGTAGCTGCATGTGGAGCTTGGCTGCTTGACAAAATGCATTTCCTGCAGCTGAAGGAGATAAATTAGTATAGTTAAACACAAAGCATTAAGTATCCCCTATCCCGAGCTTGAACTGTTGGGCTTACTCCTAAAAAAAGTCCCATTTCACTGAAAAGAAGCAGAGTCAGAAGAAGCACATGTGAATGTGACTGAGTACACCTTAGGTGAATATAAAAATAGTCAGAATTAAGTCAAATAGCAATACGGGCTTCATCAGCCCCAAGAGACCTCCCAAGTGGCCTGTGGGCAACAGACCTCATTCAATAGCTACAGTCAAGTCTAGGTCATTCAATTCTTTCAATTCTGTTCCTCAGCATAAAATAAACACTGAATAGGGAGGGGTATTAAGCTACAATGTAAATAAAGATAAAACACTGAGATCAAGAATATTGTTTACTTATCCTTTCATCTTATAGTAAATCAGTAATGACTTAGCAGTCATTATTGATAAAATTGCTAATGAGGGATTTATGAAAAAAATAAGTTTTTCAGAGTGAAAATTATGCCCACAATTTCAAAATTCAAGGTTTTTTAAAGTTTATTAACAAAATCTGACTAAAATTTATGAGGATTAGACTTTTTAAGAGATTTTTTTTTTTTAAATTTATGTTTGCACAGAAGAACTGGGGTATAGGCCAGAGGTGCAGGGGGCAGGGGCAGGTTGAGGATTTACCAGAGAGAATGGGGAGCAGAACAGGTGGATTTACTGAAATACACTGCTGAAAGGAGCAGCGGGCAAGACAGGAGAGGTCTGCTGAGCCATATATGGGTTAGCTCCCTGGCTGGGGAGCCATATATGGGTTAGCTCCCTGGCTGGGTTAACTCAGGCCATAGGGTGACAGCACTGAGACTTAACCTGAGGCCACCAGGGAGGCCCTACTATTTATACCCCACTTTGTATGGAAACATACATACTAGGCATGGTTATGGTGTGCCCCCCATCTCTCTGCGGGATCATGGCACACATAAAAAGTGTATGTCCTCAGTTTTATTCAGAAAAGGTTTTTGGATTAGGGACTATGAATTCTGGAGTGGCAAATAAAAGAGGAAGGGAATCCCTAGCAATGGAGTCAGAGGAAAAAGGAACAAATGCTTTAAGGCAAGAGGAGGCTGGAACTGCAGGCTTGTGATAAGCCTGATCAGTCTGCAGAGGAATGAAGGTGCAGGTTAGTGGAAATCAAGGCTGAAGACACCATCAGGCCAGTTCAAGAAGGGCTTAAAATCTCAAATGAGGAACCTGGAAAAAATGAATCCATTTCATTTTGAGGCTCTCAGTTCAAAGAAAGGTCATGGCAATACCTCAAAAAAATGAGTACAGTAGACTGGGACACATGCACACCTTTGGAGACACAGTTCAGTGCGGTCTGGACTAAGAAGGTAGTGCTGGCAGGAATGGAGGGGGAATATTCACTCCTCTAGGAAGAGCAAGATTAAGAACATCACAAATCTTTTGGCATTTAAAAAATTTGCATTTCAAAAAAAATTCAGAGAAGTACTGAAAATAGTAACAGATGCCTAAGAAAGCTTTGCTGTATTAAACATTTACTTTAAATTTATTTTTAAGAAATAAAACATTCAGTTCCACCAATGCTTCACCTGCCACGTTTGTCCCAACCCCTCTCCAGAGAGCATATAATTCCCACTAAGTTTCTGGGTTTTCACCCGAGGAAAAAAAGGATAGTACAAACTCCTGAGGGAGCCTGCTCAGGTTCAAATCTTGCTGTGTCTCAGTTTCTGATAAAGTGTCCAGGCAGTTTTGAAAATATTTTTTAAAAAGATTTATTCATTTATTTATGCATACAAGAACTGGGGTGTAAGCCAGAGGTGCGAGGGTGAGAGGATTCACCAGAGAGAGTGGGAGCAGAACAGGCAGACCTACAAAATACACTGCCGAGGGGAGCAGCAGGCAGGGCAGGAGAGGTCTGCGGCACCATGTGGGTTTCTCCCTGGCGGGCAGGGAATCAAACTCGTGCTGCAGTGGCTGGCAACAGCTTGATAGCTCTGTCTTTAACCCCTGCGCCATCAGGGAGGCCAGTTTCGAAAATATTTTAACCATCAGCCTGGCGTGGGCACTGACTAGTCAGAGGAAATTAGAGAAGCCCTGCCAGCAGGCTTGAAACCTTCCACTGGTGAATCATGACGTTGGGGATCACAGATGAGGCATCAAGGTCAAGTGCCAGGGTAGTGGGCAGGCACCCAGTTAGGGAAGCAGCTAGCTTCCAAGCAGCAATTCAGGACTCTTTCAGCTGAAGAGCATCTCTGCCCGGCTCTGCCTCAGCAGGGTGTAGTACTATAATGACTTAGTCTTCCCAAGTAAAGCTGGCTCTAGTTACACAGGTTGGCTATTGTCATTATTACATCAAATCCATTTTTAAAGCATACTTGAGGTTTGGCATGTTTAAATATAATCAATCCTTTCAGAATCTACACCCTCCCTCTTCCACCAATCTGTCCCAGAACCAATCATGGCCCCTCCTTCCCTGAGTGTACTAGTACATCTAGGAGCTCTCAGGCTAGGTCCATTTCCCCAGACAACGTTAAGTGCTTTAGTGTTTCAATTTCGTGCTCCCACCTTCCAAAACTAGCCATTGGCTCCCTTTTTCACTCTGAGCACTTATTTCTATCACTGTTGACAAATGCCAGTTCGATTTCTCCAATCTTGGAGGTGAATTTAAAAGAGTATATATTAAACCAAAGTCAAACAGCTTAGCGGGCTAAATTTACTCAAATGTAAAATTGGCCTAATGCCTGACATGGTAATCTAAAAGAACTATAAAAGAACTATATATAAAAGAACTATAAAGAAATGCAGTGGTTATCATCACTACCACTGTAATATGGTAATGGAGTCTAAGAATCTAATATTTACCCACTCACAAATATTCTAAGCAGAGGGGAGAGGGAGGGAAGGCAATGTAGGAAGGGTGGGGAGGGAGCACAATGGAATGAGGTGGAGGATGGTGGGTGCTTTGGTGGTGGGAGAGCTATGGTGACCACACATGCAGGGAGAATCCTACACTGTCAAAAAACTAACAAGAATGTACAAAAAGTACTTAATTAAAAAATAAAAAACAAATATCCTGAGCATATTGGGCTGCTGGTACTTGTCCAGTCCCCAGCAGAGATGAAGCATGGAAACATCTAACTACCAATGGCTTGCATTCTAGTGAGGGACAGCACATAATTGAAACACATAAGCAAGATAAATGAATACGCGCAAGTCATATAGTGTTTTGCTAGATGGTGATAAGGGTGTTAGAGAAAGGGGAGTAGGTTTCCCAGAAGGAGATGATCTATATTTTTAAAAGGGGTGGCTAGACAGACCTAAAATGACATTTGAGGACCTGAATGAAGCAGGGTACCATCACATTCTATTTGGGGGACAAGCATGCCAAACAGAAGGAACCAGCACATGCAAAGGTATTTCCTCCTTCAAAATGGCTTAGTGTTATCTCTGCCTGAAAAGCAAAGAAACAAAAACTTTATACCTACCACTCCAATTTTTAGCCATCTTGAACATATTTGCGGCTCTGGTATACATTTCACAAGCCTCTTCTATTCTTGTATTTCCCCTGAGAAAAATTAAAAAACGAGATTGTTTTACTATAACAACCACCCATGTATCTAATTCTTCCTCCCTCCTTCAAAAAAATAATAAACATTTAATGAGTACTTACTATGAGCTAACAAACACTGTATTAGTTGCTGCTCAAGGAGATACTCTTATTAAAATGGGGATATTTTCCAAATGAGAAAATTAATGCATACAAAAGTAAAATGACTAGTCCAATGTCACAGAGCAAGGACACCACAGCACTAAGACTCAAAAATACAGATCTGACCCCATGGCCTACACCCTTAATCAAGAGTTTTTTCCATATATGGAAACTGACTTTTTTTTTTTTTTTTGAGTTTTTTATTTTGCTTTATTTTCAAATGACGTAATACTGGCCTTTACATATTATTAAAAACTCCTTATATATATTGTTTTAATGGCTATTTAGTATTCCCATAATGTAAATGTACTACTATTTACTTAACTATTCTCTATGGTTGGCCATTGGGCTCTTCGGTTTTCTACTAAGGCATCTTCCACTGTGATGACTGTGTGCAGAATTTCTTCTGTTGGAATGTACTTTGGGATATAATCTTGGAAGTGAAATCCCCATATCCAAAATATGGATAGTTTTAGGATTTTAAATATAGGTTGTCAAATTGTTTTCCCAAAAGTTTGTACTTTTTTTTTTTATAATAAATTTTATTGTTATATTCCCCATACAATTGCAGCCCCCCATTCTGACCCCAATCCCTCCCCTCCCGCCCCCGCCCCCCTAAAAGTGTCTCTGGTTCATAGTTTTTTGTTGATTTTGATTTTCACTTTGTTATAGTTATTCATTTTCCTGGTCCCTTATTTAAGTTTTCTAGATTCCTGCTATGAGTGAGACCATCCGGTATTTTTCTTTTTCTTTTTGGCTTATTTCGCTGAGCATGATCCCTTCCAGCGCCATCCATGTTGCTGCAAATTGTATGTGCTTATCTTTTTTAAATGCTGAGTAATATTCCATGGTGTATATTTACCACAACTTCTTGATCCAGTCATCTATTTTTGGGCATTTGGGTTGTTTCCAAAGCTTAGCTATTGTAAACAGTGCTGCTATAAACATAGGGGTGCAGGTGTTCTTTGGAATTGATGTTTCTGTGTCCTTTGGGTAAATACCTAGGAGTGGAATTGCTGGATCATATGGAAGCTCTATGTTTAGTAGGTCCAGAAATCTCCACACAGCTTTCCACAGTGGTTGGACCAGTTTGCACTCCCACCAACAGTGCAGAAGAGTTCCTTTTTCTCCACACCCTCGCCAGCATTTGTTGTTGCTAGTTTTTTTAATATGTGCCATTCTCACTGGTGTACGATGGTATCTCATGGTAGTTTTGATTTGCATTTCCCTGATGGCAAGTGATGTTGAACATTTTTTCATATGCCTGTTGGCCATTTGCATTTCCTCTTCAGAGAAGTTTCTTTTTAGCTCTTCTGCCCATTTTTTGACTGGATTCTTTTCTTTGTTGTTGTTGAGTCTCATCAGCTCTTTGCAGATTTTTGTGATCAGTCCTTTATCATTAGTGTTGGGTGCAAAAATGTTCTCCCAGTTGGTGGGGTTTCTCTTTGTTTTCGTTATTGTCTCTTTTGCTGTGCAGAAGCTCTTTAATTTGATGTAGTCCCAGCTGTTTATCTTTGCCTTCACTATCACTGCTTTGGGTGATGTGTCTGTAAAGATGTCTTTGATGTGCAAATCACGTAGTGTTTCGCCTATATTTCCTTCTATATATTTTATGGTTTCAGGTCTTATGTCTAGTTCTTTAATCCATTTTGAGTTGATTTTTGTGTATGGTGTGAGGTAGTGGTCAAGCTTCATTCTTTTGCATGTAGCGACCCAGTTTTCCCAGCACCATTTATTGAACAAACTTTCTTTGCTCCAATGCATAGTCTTTGCTCCTTTGTCAAAGATTAGTTGACCATAAATCTGTGGGTTTATCTCTGGATTTTCTATTCGATTCCATTGGTCTGTATGTCTGTTCTTGTTCCAATACCATGCAGTTTTGATGATTATGGCTTTGTAGTATAGTTTGAAGTCTGGGAGTGTAATGCCTCCATTCCCTTCTTTTTTTTTCAGGAGAGCTTTGGCTATTCGGGGTTTTTTTGTGATTCCATATGAATTTCATCAATAATTGTTCTATTTCTTTGAAGAATGACATTGAAATTTTGATTGGAATAGCATTGAATCTGTATATTGCTTTTGGAAGGATGGCCATTTTAATAATGTTTATTCTTCCAATCCACGAGCAGGGGATGTCTCTCCATTTCTTTGTGTCTTCTTCTATTTCTTTTAACAGTGTTTTATAGTTTTCTTTGTATAGGTCCTTTACCTCTTTTGTTAGATTTATTCCCAAATATTTGATTTTTTTTGTTTCAATAACAAAAGGGATGGTTTTTTTGATTTCTTCTTCTTCAGATTTATTGTTTGTGTATAGGAAGGCTACTGACTTTTGCGTGTTGATTTTGTATCCTGCCACTTTACTGAACTGATTGATGAGTTGAATTAGCTTTTCTGTGGAGTTTTTGGGGTTCTCTATGTATAATATCATATCGTCTGCAAATAGTGATAGTTTGACTTCTTCTTTTCCTATTTGGATTCCTTGGATGTCTTTCTCTTGTCTTATTGCCCTGGCTAGGACTTCCAGTATTATATTGAAAAGCAGTGGTGAGAGTGGACATCCTTGTCTTGTTCCAGATCTTAATGGAATTGCTTTCAGCTTTTCACCATTGAGAATGATACTGGCTGTTGGCTTGTCATAGATGGCCTTTATGATGTTGAGGTATGTTCCTTGTATCCCAAGAATTTCAAGGGCTTTTATCATGAATGGGTGTTGCACTTTGTCGAAAGCTTTCTCAGCATCTATTGATATTATCATATGGTTTTTATATTTCTTTTTGTTGATGTGTTGGATAACGTTGATTGATTTTCGGATGTTAAACCATCCTTGTGCCCCTGGAATGAATCCTACTTGGTCGTGGTGAATTATCTTATGGATACATTGTTGGATTCTGATGGCTAAAATTTTATTGAGGATTTTTGCATCAGTGTTCATTAGGGAGATTGGCCTGTAGTTTTCCTTTTTTGTGTTGTCCTTGTTCGGTTTTGGTATTAGTGTAATGTTGGCTTCATAGAACGTGTTTGGTATTGTCCCTTCCTTCTCAATTTTTTGGAAGAGTTTGTGAAGGATAGGCACTAATTCATCTCTGAATGTTTGGTAGAATTCATTTGTAAATCCATCAGGTCCTGGGCTTTTGTTTTTGGGGAGGTTTTTGATTACCATTTCAATTTCGCTGCTTGTAATTGGTCTGTTTAGGTGTTCTATTTCTTCTTTATCTAGCTTTGGGTGATTGTAGAGTTGTAGGAATTTGTCCATCTCCTCTAGATTGTTAAACTTGTTTCCATATAACTGTTCATAGTAGTTACTGATTATTCTTTTGATTTCTGCTGTGTCCGTTGTGATTTCTCCTCTTTCACTGATGATCCTGTTTATTTGTGCTTTCTCCCTTTTTTCCTTTGTGAGCCTGGCTAGGGGTTTGTCTATTTTATTGATTTTTTCAAAGAACCAGCTCTTGGTTTCATTGATCTTTTGGATTGTTTTTTTAGTTTCAATTTCATTTATTTCTGCTTTGGTTTTTATTATTTCTTTTCTTCTACTGGTTTTGGGGTTTTTTTGTTGTTCTTTTTCTAGATCTTTGAGCTTCGAGATTAGGTTGTTTCTTTGAGTTCTTTCTTGTTTCTTGATGTGAGCTTCTATTGCTATATATTTTCCTCTTATTACTGCTTTTGCTGCATCCCATACATTTAGGATATTGGTGTCTTCCTTGTCGTTCAATTCAAAAAATTTTTTAATTTCTTCTTTGATCTCCTCCTTAGTCCAGTGGTCTTCCAGTAGTGTGGTTTTTAATCTCCATGAGGTAGGAAAGTTCCTTGCCTTCTTTTTATGGTTTATTTCTAGTTTGATGCCTTCATGGTCAGAAAAGATGGTTGATATGATTTCAATCTTGGTGTATCTGTTGATGTTTGTCTTGTGCCCCAGTATGTGATCGATCCTGGAGAATGATCCGTGTGCGCTTGAGAAAAATGTGTACTCCGTTTTTTTGGGGTTTAGTGTTCTATAGATGTCTGTTAAGCCCAATTGCTCTAGGTCCTTATTTAGAGCTTTGGTTTCTTTACTTGTTTTTTGTCTTGTTGATCTATCCATTGTTGATAGTGGTGTGTTGAAGTCTCCCACTACGTATGTGTTTTCTCTGATGTCTGTTTTCAGAGAGGACAACAGTTGTCTGATATATTTTGGTGCTCCTTCGTTTGGTGAGTATATGTTAATGAGTGTTATTTCTTCTTGAAGTATTGTCCCCTTGATCATAATGTAGTGACCATTGGGGTCTCTTTTTATCTTTTTGAGTTTGAAATCTGTTTTATCTGATATAAGTATAGCTGTTCCTGCTTTCTTTTTTGGTCCATTTGCTTGTAGGATTGTTTTCCATCCTTTAACTTTGAGCCTATTTTTATCTTTTGTAGCTAAATGTGTTTCCTGGAGACAGCAAAAGGTTGGGTTTTGTTTCTTAATCCAGGATGCAACTCTGTGTCTTTTTATTGAAGAGTTTAGTCCATTTACATTTAGAGTTAATATTGATATGTTAACATCTGTATTTGCCATTGTGTTTGTCTTTCCTTTGATTTTATTTATTTATTCTTTTAATAACTTTTTTTTTTTTTTGGCCTTCTTTCATTGTTATTCGTCCCTCTGAGGTTCTGGCTTTAGGACTCCTTGTAGTATTTTTTGGAGTGGGGGTTTAGTTGCAATGAAATTCCGGAGTTTCTGTTTGTCTGGGAAGGTCCATATTCTTTCTTCAAAGAGGAAGGAGAGCTTTGCGGGATAGACTATTCTTGGTTGGCATCTGTTTTCTTGGAGTCTGTTGACTATGTCCCTCCACTCTCTCCTTGCCCGTAGTGTTTCTTCGGAGAAGTCTGATGTCAGC